CATTGACAACGCCTCTGGTATCGTTATGCATCACGGTATACTTATAACAACTCTAATGTAGGAATTAAGATTCCCCTCATATATCAAAGAATGAACTTAGAGTTTGTTAATTAAGTTTAATTATATCTACTAAGTCTTAGAATCTCAAGGGTACACTGATCTTAAAAGTCATTTGAATAATTCATCTATTGCACACAAAGGCTAAATGAAGGTTTCTGGATACTTTAAAATTTGAAATCAGGAAAGAACTTGGGATTTAAAATATCTGTCAGCAAGATGTAAATATAGGACAAAAATAGTCCAGAGAGAGAGATTTGGTAATATATCATACAAGTTATACAGCATAACAATTTGCTTAATAGTGTGTATTTTTTATTTTTTTACTGTTATTTCATTTATTATGTTCATCTATTCCGTGCCATAAGTTTTGTTTCTTGAGTTTCTTCTGGATATCTTTTTCTTCTGTGCAACCTCCTCTTCTGGTTTTGGAAAATTTGTTCCTTTTCAGTGAGGATCATCTCGATGTGGCAGGGGAACTCATGTATGGATTAATCGACCATGAGCTCTGTAAGTTCGGCGACGCATCCTTGGTGCTTTGTTCACCTGGATATCTCATGACCAGAGAATCTACATCCAAACCCTTAAATTCAGCATTATCTCTGCATTTTAAGCATGTGCAGCAAAAATCCAGCACCCTCTTGGGCCACCGACCCTGTGTCAGCCCACTGTTTGGCCTGGCACACCTACCAACTCCACCATTGTAACGTCGGAATGGTCACATTGTTTCTAAAGTGACATCTTTCAGATACTTGGTGGCTTTTCGTATATGCATACCCTTGATGGCCTGGGCAGTTTCACGAGTGTTCTTGAAGTGAACACGAAGATTTAACCTCTTGACTTGCATGATTTGTGGGGTTTTCTGGGTCAAGTGAATAGCGACCATTTCACGAATCACCTCAGGCCACTTGAGGGGGAAGAGGTGATGTTTAGTTTTTATTTTATTTTATTTGGTACTTATGGCAGAGATACAATTTTTACTTTAAATTCTTTAGATATTATTAACTAATACAATGTTAAATAGTATATTAATATATATAAATTTACATTATAAGTCTGATTTTTCCAACCACTGAATACTTTTTAGAACCACAGTAGTAAACTTGAAAACCTAGAATGATTCCCAGTTGCATTAATTAGCACAATAACTTAATTAATTATCTTATACAGCATGCCATCAACCTGGATTTTACTGCATATTTGATGTATTACCTCTTGGTCTTTAAATATAAAGCAAATAATAGTTTGATTTTTCAGTTACTGATTATAAATTTTTTTAAGAAATTTAATATCAGGAGTTAATAGTTTACACAACGAACCTATCTTTATCATGCTTTAAAAATAAGAAAAAAGAAAAAATGTTCATCCTGATTTGCAATCAATGAAATACACATTAAAACAATAAAATACTATGTTTCACCCACAATATTAAGAGAGATTAAAACTACTCAGATTATTTTACATTGATAACATTGTATTAGTTTTATTGATAACATTACATTGGTAACATTTATGCTTTCATACACAGTAGTCATGGACGTATGAATTGGTACCTCATTTTACATGACAGTTTTATATCAGGGCCTTTATAGTGTGCATACTAGTTGTTTTGTTTTTTACCTAATAATGCCTCTTTTAAGACTCTAATCATAAGAAACTAGTCAGAAATACAGATAGAGGTTTATGCACAAATATGGTCCTCTGAAGTATCATTGAAATTATTTTTAGAAATACTGCTTAAATTATGGTTATTCCATAGGGTGAAGTATTATATAGTTTGATAAATTATGTTGAAGAGTTTCTTAATGACATAGAAAATGTTTACGTTATTATAGAGATGTAAATAGTATATAGAATATATTAATATTATATATATATATCTATTTATTTATATATAAATTATATATGTAAAATCTCAACTTTCCATGAAAAGGAATAACAGAAAGAGACATGCTAAAATGTTAAAAGTAGAAGTAGGTTTAGGTGTTGGTTTATAGATCTCTGTATATACTAGTTTTATATAACAAAGTATTATTACTTTGATAATCAGAAAAAGAAAAGAAAACAAAGTTTACATATAATCAACAGCTTCATTTTGAGGGGCCAAGCTTGATTTGCTATCCTTAGACATTTTTAACATTCTATTTTTAGAACCAGTCTTTTATATTGATCCTTTGGTGGTTAAGTTTCTTTCATGTGAAATTCATATCAAGTTTAGAGTATGATTTTTTTTTTTTTAAATCAAGCAGCATATCTTCTGTAAATGGGTGCTGGTTTTTTTTTCTCTTTTTCTTTTCTTTTCTTTCTTTTTCTTTTTTTTTTTTTTTTTTGAGATTTCAGCTATACCTTCTTATCCAATACTTCTAGGCTTTTCTGGACACATCTTCTGAATTACCTTCTCAGTTGTGTAATATTCAGTGGTTACTGTAACCCAGAGATGGGTTGTTAATGAATATAGACTATAGTTATAGTTATAGTTATTTGGAGTTAAAATCTCCAAATGAGATTTTTTTACTCCAAGTATCTATAATTATATCTTTAGTAAGTGGAAACAATATCTTTAAGTGAGCTAGAAGTATTAAACTAGGAATTTTTCCTGAGTTTTGCTTCTGCTGAAATACATGCAATAACTTTTTTTTTCTTTAGACCTAATGAAATAGTGATATGTTCTTCTTAGAATAAACTGAAATGTCAATTTTTTCCTCAACTTTTGATTAACATATACCATAAATAAGAAACTTTAGTAAAACTAGATAAAAAAACAATCTCAAAGACATTTTAATTTTTATAAAACATATTTTAAAGAGTTAATCTTCAAAATATTTATCATATGCTATTGAACAATTAAAGAGTTAATTGTATAATTAAAATATACAACCACAATGAGTAAGATGTGCAACGTTTGGGGGATGGACACGCTTGAAGCTCTTACTAGAGGGGAAGGGGGGGCATGGGCAATATATGTAACCTAAACACTTGTTCCCTGATAATACGCTAAAATAAAGAAAAATTTAAAAAATCCTTTAAAAAAATAAAAATAAATAAATAAGTAAAATATATGGATAGTTTTTAAAGTTTTGACTCTTCTATGT